TATTTATTTATATATACCATTTGCCATGGCGCAGCTTGGCCTGTGAGGCCCTTGCGCCAATAAACTCCTCTAATGAACTAACTAAATCTTTAGTTTAATAATTATTTTGCATTTAAACAGAAAATTGCTTTTGTACTCCATAACTCACGGTAAAAATTGTCAGTGAATAACTTAAACTAAATGCAAGATTTAATATTCTCTGTATAAGACATTCCGATAAATATGTATTACTTCGATTTATTTAATATTGAACATGAATTTTAACTAAAAAAGTTTATGTATTATATATTTAATATATTGTTGTTATACGTTTAACGGAATTTACCATTAACATGTGGATCCACAGAATTAGATATAACTTCACAAGTTTCAATTGAGGAAAGTTCCTTGAGTTTCATATTTGTATCATGTTCTGATTCCGGGTTATTTTGCAACATATTTGATTGTCCTGGATGTAGCGACATTTCTGATACAGAAGACAAATCCGATTGATTTATTTGCATCTGGAACGGAGGAAGTTCTTTACTTCCGTCCATTTCTGATTGAGGCTGATACTGAAATGCCTGCAAACCGTAATCCAAGGCTCCAGATGGTGATCCGTAAACACCAACTTCAGTTGGAAGTCAATAAGCAAGCATCGTAGGGGCTTGCTGATGTGGAAAATGTTGAACATATAGTCCATATTTTTGTGACAGGACATACTAAAAAATTAAACATAAAATTGATTAATTATAAAAATATGAAATATTGAATTTATTTTTAATTGAAGCAATCTAACATCACTTGTGTAATTTATTCTCAATGAATTCAATATTAATTTTTTGCAGTAAAAAAGAATAACAAGTGATAATATTTACTGAAAGTATTATCATCAGAATTATAATATTTTTAGTTTCACGCTTAGAGTATTTATAATTTGTTTTTGTCAAGTAATAAATATTTATCTAAATATCTTTTACTAATAACAATTATTTTTGGATTGTTTTTTTTTTATTTGCACCAAAATTATTTTGGCAAGTAACTTTAAAATTTGCTCTAACATTTAAAATGTTATATTGCTTTATAAGCAGTTTAACTTTAAACAAAAAGAGGAAACACTGTAATCTTGATATTAAAGTCATCCATTTATAATTAAATAATTATGTATTAAAATTAAAACTTAAGATTCTGTTAAAAATATTGTTTATATTTTTAACAGAATCATAAGTTTTAATTTATTTTAAGCTTTTGTATCTGGCAATATTTTGTCTAACTTAAATATTGTTATGTTTAATCTTTGTCTTTTGTTGTATGAATTTTCATGTGATTAACCCAGGATTATTTAAGAGTTCCTATTGACATGATGTGACATTGTAATTGCTAAATCAGGCACAATTCTAGGACAAATGTAGCAAATTGGGACTTTGACAGAGCTGTAGAGCATATCGATAGGAACAAAAAAGTCAAAGGAACCATGCCTGTACGGGTGACCCTTTGCGAGATATAGGCCCCCGAAAAATGACTATGTGGAAAATTTGAGACCCTCAAAAATGGGGTAAAATTCAAAAGTGAAAATTTTCGGAACTAAATCTCGAAACTATGGCATTTTTTGCCGTTTTTTAGAAGTTACTAGACACTCCCAAAACACGAGGATCGGCACCTTTCNCAAAGGATTTATATAATCTGTGATATTTTTAAAACTAAAAATGATACATTGATAAATGTTATGTCGAATCGTACAGAACAAAATTTCAGATCGTTCTGGCTTAGTGCCAAGAACGAACTACACAACTGAAGAGTGTTAATTTTAACAAAATGTTACAAATTTTCACAGATAGATGTCAGTTCTGATATATGAAATTTTTTTTCTGTCGAATTTATTTTTTAATTTTATTTATAAATATCGTATTTAAAACTACAAATATTAGTAAATGTAATGTGATTTTTTTCATATGAATATAACAAAAACTTGATTTTTGGCAAATTTTTAAAATAATATAACCTGACTGACCTTGAATCACCTAAATGACCCTTGGTCGTTAAGGGAAGTAAAATAAAATAAGGGGGCGGTGAACCCAGGCAAGTAAGAGTTAAGAGTTCCTATTGACATGATGTGACATTGTAATTGCTAAATCAGGCACAATTCTAGGACAAATGTAGCAAATTGGGATTTTGACAGAGCTGTAGAGCATATCGATAGGAACAAAAAAGTCAAAGGAACCATGCCTGTACAGGTGACCCTTTGCGAGATATAGGCCCCCGAAAAATGACTATGTGGAAAATTTGAAACCCTCAAAAATGGGGTAAAATTCAAAAGTGAAAATTTTTGGAACTAAATCTCGAAACTATGGCATTTTTTGCCGTTTTTTAGAAGTTTAGACTAGACACTCCCAAAACATGAGGATCGGCACCTTTCGACCGCCACTTCCGGGGAGCGCCATGGGGAGTCGCACCTTGCTTGTTCTCTATCTGCTAAGCCTATTGCGTGTCTAACAGGCAGCAAGCCGTATTCTAACCACACTTTTATCGACAAAGACCAAAGAATAGCCCAATTATTAGCGCTATTTCGGCAACGCTTACTCTACCGCCACTCTATATTGAGCACACTTCTATTTCGCTATCTCTATCACATTCTAACTGACAATGGAAAGAAAACAGAATCTGCTCACATCTAAACCGAGCACGCTTTCATTTCTCTATCTCTATCACATTCTAACTGACGATGGAAAGAAAACAGATCCTGCACTCACCTTCAACAGCGTCTCCTCTTGGGTCTCCCGCGACGTCCTCTCGCTACCTGGCGACACCTAGCCGGATCCTGATGTTGTGTAGGTGAGGACGGGGTGAGGCCGCTGGTCCCCGCCTCGGCTAGGTCCTGGGGGTCGATGAAGAAGGTGGTGGTGGTGGTGCCCAATGTTGTCTGAAAAGTCACATAATCCAGTATTCACATCCGCAAACAAGTATCCTTTGGTCACGCACACTATACACAAGCTGTAATACTCACTGGGCGGTCTTCATCCCCCTGCCGTTCCTCTTCGTCGCCCTCGTGCACGGGAACATCGAAATAGGGCTCGTCGGGCGGCAGATGTTCATCCGCGGGCACACCGATCGTCTGGAGTTGCAGACCCTGGTGACCAGGGCCTGGGTAGACGGCCACGATGTCCCCGATGAACTGCCGGAATTTCGCCGATGTTGTTGGCGACTGGGACAGGAACCGCGTCCTGTACACGTACGTGCAGGTGTAACTTTGCAGGCTCCTGTCCATGCGGAGCGACATTATGGACTTCTTCAGCCAGCGATTTCTACACTCGATGTTCTGAGTGTGGGCCTCGGGATCATCCGTGTCGATGAATCTGCACAGAAAAAAGATAAATGTCGTGTCTTTATCACCCTGTTCATACCTTTCAATTAACACATAGCACACTTTAATCCTTCTCACCTCCCGGGGCCCCACCGGCTGTGATTGATGATCTTATGTCCCGAGAAGCCCAAAGCTGTACAACCGCGATACTGGGCCGCGCTGTCGGAAACGATGATGGATTTTGAAGCTATGTATCTGAGCATGTGGCTCCACAGAACTCTTCTGCTTTTTTTTTTTCATAATTTGAAGTTTGGACTATGTACAAAAAGTCTAAAATAACTTTTGAGTCCATCTTTATCCCTTATACACTACCACAGAAGTAACA